AATGAACGTCACATAATGTCTGTGGTTAGGTCTGTATTGAGCTGGATAAATTGAGCTGACCTCTAGACCCCCCTCCCCAAAAAATGAACGTCACATAATGTCTGTGATTAGGTCTGTATTGAGCTGGATCAATTGAGCAGACCTCTAGACCCCCCAATGCACGTCACATAATGTCTGTGGTTAGGTCTGTATTGAGATGAAAAAATTGAGCAAACCCTCCCCCCCCCCGACAACTTACTCGAATGTCTTTTGAATTCTTTAAAATGCCATTTCAATTATTGTAGTTTATAGTTCATTTTTTTTAAAAATTCGAGAAAATAGGGGTCATTGGGGAAAATAGGGGTCATTGGGGAAATATGGGTCATTGGGGAATATGTTGTTTTTTTTAAATACCCATTTTTTAAGGGAGAGTGGCGTAGAGCATAATTAAGTACTACGGATATTTGAAAAGTCTCTGACCATTTAAAACAAAAATAAATTAACATCTTAGCATTTAACTTGGTAATTTTGTTTTCTTCATTCCGTGACATTTTCGTAGCGGATAGCAAAAGTCTCTGTTCTGAACACATTTGACCGAGATCTGTGGCCAGAGGCCCCAAAGATTTCTCATGCGCAACCGAACAACACAGTGACAGGGATCTTTGACCACGCCAGAGACTTGAATGCGTGTTTTGTCAATTAACACTGGTGGAAGTGGAGTTCATGCAATTTGGCCACCGTTCTTTCGCGGGCGATAGCTAGTGTATCATAATGGCTGTAGCTAGGTTATCACAATGGCTGTAGTCAGTTTATCATATTGGCTATAGCTAGTTCATCATAATGGCTATAGCTAATTTATCATAATCGCCATAGCTGGTTTATCATTATCGCTAAAGCTGATTTATCGTAGCGGCTGTAGCTGGGTTATCATATTTTATCATTAACATAGAAATTTCAACAACAACTATAAAACCTTATTATTTTGAAAAGACTGATGAGTTTATTTAACATTTAGTATTCGAAAAAGAGTTGGACTATTGGTTTGTTTCTTTGCTTTGGGTTTTGTTGGGGGGGGGGGGTGTTATAAATAATAAAGATATGATGTTGGAATGTTGGAGATTGGGGGGGGGGGGGGGGGGGGGGGGGGAAAAAAGGTTAAGAAAAAAAAGCATTTAAGGAATTTGGAAAAAAAGGGGGGAAACATTTAAATTTGTTAAAAAATATGATGTTGGAATGTTGGAGATTGGGGGGGGGGGGGTGGGTGCGGGAGGAAAAAACGTTAAGTAAAAATAGCATTTCAGGAATTTCGCAACAAATGGGCGACACATTTAAATGTGTTTAAAAATATAAATATATTGTGTTAAATAAACGGATTTAAAAAGCAGTTCGTATCTTTTCCCAGCTATTCGTAAAACTTGTATTCGCTGGTGGAGACATTTTCCAGACTCAGCTCCACCCAATCTAAAAATAAAAAAAGAAGCCTTCTCCACGACACCAGTGTTTGAAATCTGGGGGAGGGGGTTTAGATTAGTCGGCGCCCTCCTTGACGGTTCTAACTTTCTTAACAAGCGTTCCGTCGTCGTTGTAAAACTCCTCCCAGTAATAGTAGTACCCGCTCCCGGAACCTTCCGTCCACTCTTCCCAGGTGCTACCCCCTTCTTCGACATGTGCGGTCTCTTCGTTGTCCTTTATGTACGTCTCTGACCACCTCACGCGAACTCTTTCACCTTTCTCGTTCGTCACGTAGTGGTACTCCCCGTCATCGTCTTGACCAGAACCAATTTCAGGGTCCTCACCTGAAGTATGATTGCCAAGATTAGGACCGTTGGCAGTCTCTTCGTTCTGGCTATTCTCGGTGCTCTCAGATCCGCCACCGGTGCTGTATTCACGGCTGCGGTAGCCTTGGCTGTTGATGTATTCAACACTTCCTGATCCCGACTCCGATGCAAGCTGATCCGAGGTGTTGTGCCGACCGCTGCTGTGATGGTCACCACGACGATCGTAACTTCCGGAACGATCTCTGGAGAAATTCCGTGTTCCGTTGTAACCGAAACTGAGGCCGTTATCACGAGAACGTGACCCACCAGACCACTCGCCATGGCCTCGTCCTCGCTTCCCTCCAACACGTCTATGAGAAATTCTGCCGTTTCCTCTATGTTTATTGGAGTGCTCGCTAGTGCCGTAACTGTCTTCAGTGCTGTTTCTCGTCCCGTTGTAACTATAGCTGTACTCTCCACTTCGTGAGCCCCACTCGACTTCTGATCCCTCAGATGATCCACCGTGACCTCTTCTTCTATTTCCACCGCTGCGGTTTCCTCCTCTCCGATAACCTGCTCTCCGATAACCCCTTCCTGACATGCTACTGCTACCTTTGTTTTTGTGAGATCTTTCAAGTCCACGCCCCCTGTAGCCATCACGTGTGCTGTTGCCCGTCCCATTGAAGGTTTGGCTGTACTCTCCACTTCTCGTTCCATAAGAGTCCCATTCAGACCCACTCGAGCCCTCGCCCTCTCGGCCGCGGTGCCTCCTTCCTTCATGGCGATACTTTCCTCTTCTGTATCCCTTCCCAGATAGCCTTGCATGTCCTTTCCGTTTTTGCGACCTCTCCACACCGCTTCCCCTGTAACTTCCACTTGTGCTGTTGCTCGTCCCGTTGTAGCTGTAGCTGTACTCTCCGCTCCTTGAGCCCCACTCCACATCGGATCCACCGGAGCTTCCACCATGACCTCGTCGTCTTTTCCCGCCTTTATCATATCTTTCACTGACCCGGTACTTTCCACTGAGTCTTCCGTGCCCCCTGTTCTTGTGATCTTTTTCGGATCTACTTCCGTTGTAACTCTCGCTGGTGCCGTTATTTGTCCCATTGTAGCTATAGCTATACCATTCGGTGTTGTATCCGGGTTCATATTCAGACCAACCGGATCTCTCGCCGTGACCTCGTCTGCCTTTGCCTCCCCTGCGATACCCTCCTCGTGATCCTGAAACACTTCCACTTCCTCTATGCTTATATGATCTTTCCTCGCCGCTTCCGGTGTAACTCCCTCTCGTGTAGTTACCTGTTCCATTGTAACTGTAGCTGTATTCTCCACTATCTGACCACCGGGAAGCCTCACCGTAACCCCTTCTTCCCTTGACACCGCCGTGATGCTTCCCTCCACGGTGGCGTCTCCCCGAGACACTGTCACCTCCCTTGTGTTTTCGAATTCGTTCGCTTCTCGTTCCGTTGTAACCTTCAGCGCTACTGTTGCTGGACCCGTTATAGCTGTAACTGTACTCCCAGCTCCAACTTGAGCCGCTTCCCTCTCCGGATCCTTCCGCACTTCCTCTATGTCTCCTGCCTCCTCTCCCGCCTTTTCCGTATCTCCCTCTTCTATAGTGTCTTCCTGACACATTCCCACTGTCTTTTCGTTTATGAGATTTCTCAGCTCCGCTCCAGCTGTTGCTTTCATCGGTAAAATTTCCAGTTCCATTGTAGCTGTAACTGTATTCTCCACTTCGTGATCCCCACTCGATTTCAAATGAACGTGAACCCTCACCATGGCCTCGTCTTCTCTTTCCTCCTTTGTAATACCTGCCTCGCCTGTGGCCTCTCCCTGAAACACTTCCACTTCCTTTACCTTTATGTAGCCTCTCCAATCTATTTCTCCTGTAACTCTCACTAGTACTGTTACTGGTTCCATTATAACTGTAACTGTATTCTCCACTATGTGATCCCGACTCGACATACGAGCCACTTGAGCCCTCGCCATGACCTCGTCTTCTCTTTCCTCCATGACGATAATGCCCACGGCGGCCGTGCTCACCCGACCTGCTCCCACTTCCTTTCCCCTTGTGAGATCTCTCAAATCCACTACTTCCAAAACGACCGCTTGTACTGTTGCTGGTACCATTATAGCTGTGACTGTACTCTCCACTTTGAGATCTCCACCCACTCTCGGATTCACTTGAACCTTCGCCACGTCCCCGTCCTCCTCTTCTTCCGTGGCGATACCTCCCTCGATGGCCGTGCCCACCGGAAAGGCTTCCACTTCCTTTTCTTTTGTGAGATCTCTCGAATCCACTGCCTCTGTAACTCCTACTAGTGCTGTTGCTTGTTCCATTATAACTGTAACTGTATTCTCCACTTTGTGATCCGGACACGACATACGAGCCACTTGAGCCCTCGCCATGACCTCGTCTTCTCTTTCCTCCATGACGATAATGCCCACGGCGGCCGTGCTCACCCGACCTGCTCCCACTTCCTTTCCCCTTGTGCGATCTCTCGAATCCACTGCCTGTATAACCCCTACTAGTGCTGTTACTGGTTCCATTATAACCGTAGCTGTATTCTCCGCTTCGAGATCCCCACTCGATTTCATACGAACGGGAACCCTCACCGTGGCCTCGTCTTCTCTTTCCACCTTTGTAATACCGGCCTCGCCTGTGGCCTCTCCCTGAAACGCTGCCGCTTCCTTTTCCTTTATGTACCTTTTCCAAACCATTTCTGCTGTAACTACCGCTGGTACTGTTACTGGTTCCATTATCACTGTAACTGTACTCTCTGCTTTCAGATCCCCACCTACTCTCGGATCCGCTTGAGCCCTCGCCGTGGCCTCGTCTGCCCTTTCTCCCGTGGCGATACCTCCCTCGGTGGCCGTGCCTAACCGAAAGACTTCCACTTCCTTTTCTCTTGTGGGATCTCTCCACCCCACTGACACTGTGACTTCCACCGGTGATATTGTGCGTTCCGTTGAAACTGTAACTGTCCCATCCACTACGGGATCCCCACTCAATCTCAGAGCTGCTGGACTTCCCGCCATGGCCATGTCGTCTGTGCCATGCTTTGCGATGTTTGCCACGGCGTCCGTGCCTCCCATCGTATGACTCGTCATAGCTGTATCCGCCCCTTCCGTTTCCGCCCTTGCCTTTACCTTTCCCGCCCTTGCCTTGACCTTTACCGCCTTTGACTTGACCTTTGCCGCCTTGTCCTTTACCTCCCTTGCCTTGATCTTTGACTCCTTTTCCACCCTTGCCTTGATCTTTGCCTCCCTTGCCTTGATTTTTTCCTCCCTTGCCTTGATCTTTGCCACCCTTGCCACCCGTGCCTTGATCTTTACCTCCTTTGTCTTTGTTTCCCTTTCCAACATCTTTATCTTCCTTCTCCTTGTTCTCTTGCTCTTTGGGTTTTGTCTCAGAGCTTCCGATCTTACTCTGTTCCCCGGACTCGTCACTCTCCCCTGAACTACGCTTGGGGCTCTCTGTGGTGTCGCCCTCCTCAATGGGTCGTAGGTCAAAGATGTGTATTGTGATGGACGACCTATCAGTTTTAACTGTGGCGTCCGTCAGGTTGACCCTGTCCCTGACCAAGATCGTGCACTCTATCTCCACGGCGTAGATGTTCACAAGAGTCTTTTTTACCTGTGAGTGGAAAAAAATATGATATTGTTAATGTTTTATTTGAGTATTAATATAAGTACAAATTAAAATAAATATAATTACTAATCATTAACTTACAGAGTATCATATGTCTTGTACCGGTATACAGCTAATACAATGTGCCAATTAATAATGCACAATGATGAATGTGAATAAACACATATGAGTACACACAGAATTAATACCCTTGTCTCGTGAAGTGAAACATATCTGAATCTCTGTCACTCAATGTTCTCTGAACCCCTTATATATGCAGCGGAAGACGCATTCCAGAAACGCCTTATATATTGTTAATTTTTTTTAGTCCACTCCCGAAATTCCCACAAAATACTATGAGAACAGATTAATTATTTTTAGTTGGTAGCAGTCGTAAACACGGCAAGATAAAAGGGAATAGGCCACGCCCAATATAAACGCGGCGTCTGCTAGATTGGCAGCATGGGGGAAACGTGACTTAAACACGTCCTACATAACACCGACCTTTCACGGTTACTGTAAATACTGGCCGTGCCACACGACCAGGCTATCACTGCCACTAACCCAATAAGTCACAACCCGTGGACCAGCTGTCACTACCACTTAGCCTCCTGCCACTGACGCCCAGGCAAATTTGTCAATACCGCTGTCTAATCTTTTTCAAAAAGGTCAAGATCCCTCTGCAACCTACTTTAAAAAACAAAACCAAAAAAATTCTTCTAAGCTTGCTAGAATCAAGTTTAAAAACCATCTATTTTTTTTTCTAGCATATTCTGAGGTACACGATCAAGGCATTGATCATTGAAACAATAGAATGGGTTTGGAGGCTATTCAAAATTGGACAAACGGAGACGTACAGCTTACAATAAAAAAATATGGCTGAGAGTTTTATCCTTTCCTGTGATATGTGGCTTATTTTGCTAATTACTTTAACGTGGCTTGCTACAAATCAAATCCCATGTTAAATGATAAACACATCACTTTAAAAAACAACAATATGTTAATTTAAAAAAAAAAATTTGCTTCACCAAACGGTATATAAAATAAAATGAGATGCGTGATTAAAAATAGCTATACTACATCTTTTAACCCCAGCCACCCCCCCCCCCTATCTTTTTTGGCAAAGATGCAATTCTATTTACTAATACAAAATGAAGAATGTCCACATACCGTTATGATTCCCGTAGACTCGTCCATCGCAACATAGTCCGTGTAGTCGCAGTCCTCAAAGCTGTAGTACAGGGTGTCGTTCTCATCCGGGTCAGTGGCCACAACCTGGAAGAGTATGTACCCGCGGTCGATGTCCGGCTGGACATGGGTCTCGTACCGGACCTCTGCAAACTCGGGTTTCCCCGGGTTGGGGTCCGGATCGTCCAGCCAGTCGCACCCGATGGGGTTGGCCAGCACCGGGCCGGTGCAGGCGACAAGGTAGACGAAGGTCATGAACGGGAGGTAGCTTACCCCCATGGTATCTGAGAAGTGACATAAAATATAGGATTGTAATTCCACAAAGTGACCCGTATGTTAATGTAAAGGATAAAGTCTGGCTTAGCAAAGAGTGCAGTACCCTGACTATAATGTATATCAACACTGAGAGGACGGAGCGAGTCTTAATGAAAGGGCTAAAAGACCACGGACCAGTGTTATTATAATATGTTTTTAAGATGGTTACTTCGATCAACATGACAGACCGTACCCTTGGCAACACCCTGGATGTACTAAATCCAACATTAACAAAATTATGATTTAACTATGACAGTGCTCAAAAAATTATTCTGGAAGTACTCTGATATTGCTCTGGCATTACTTTATAACTCAGATATTACTCTTACATTAGCCTGATATTACTGCGATAATAGGTTGATATTAACATTGATACTACTGTTACATTACGCTGATGTTTTTTTGATGTTCGCCTAATATAACTATGACTGCCATATGATGTTACCGTAAAATGCTCTCATATTTCTGTGACTGTACTCCGACAATGCTCTGTCAGTACTCCAAAATTGCTCGCACAGTACTCTAATATTGCTCTGACAGTATTCTGATATTGCTCTGACAGTACTCCGAAATCGCTCGAACAGTACTATAATAGTGCTCTGACAGTACTCTTATATTGCCCTGACAGTACTCTGATATTATCGTGACAGCACTCTTATTTTATTCGAACATTTACTCTGATAGTGCTGAGGTATGAATTATTTCTGATGTTACTGTGAATCATATTTGTTTATTTTTACCGTCCTTTAAAAATAAGCATAAACATACACATAAACATACATATAAAAACCTTCATTTTCATTTGATACGAAGAACTTTGGATGCCATAAAAGTACTTCAAGATAGAAAATATGTGGAACCAATTTCGAGACTGTTGTTGTAATATATGCCCGACGCATATTAAGAGCGTGGCAAGATAGTATTTCATGTCAAATATTGCTTGTCAAATTTTCATTGTCAAATGTTGCATGTCAAATATCTACTAAAGACACACCTGTTTACACCCCACCCCCCCCCCCCCAGCTTAGTGCCAAAGTAGTTTTCAAACATCAAAAACGTACGTTTCAAGCTCCAAAGAGTGGTGGGGTCAAATAATATATGCCCGACGCATATTAAGAGCGTGGCAAGATAGTATTTCATGTCAAATATTGCTTGTCAAATTTTCATTGTCAAATGTTGCATGTCAAATATCTACTAAAGACACACCTGTTTACCCCCCACCCCCCCCCCCCAGCTTAGTGTCAAAGTAGTTTTCAGACATCAAAAACGTACGTTTCAAGCTCCAAAGAGTGGTGTGGTCAAATAGGGGGAGGGGGGGAGGGGGTCGGGGTTGCAATCAAAATACAAGATGTGTCACGAAATCCTCTCATTTGCTTAGCTGCTAATAAAGCAATACACAAGTTAAGGCTCTCCGATGCGTTGGAAGGATAGCGTTCTTATTCGATTGCTTGTGTTGTTACCACACAAAGTGCAGTGACGTTTTACTGAAAACAACCCAACCCAATTATTTACGTTTATATATAAAAAAAAAAACCAATACACGAAACAAACCAAACAACTCCCGAGACCGTAATTTATTTTAGGATCATTGTAGTGCCGTATTCCTAGGCCTAGAAAGTTAAAAGGTAGATCCTTCTCTGAATACTACGCTGAAATCTGAGGAGTAAACTGGTCTGTAAAGATAATTGTTAGGGGGAATTTTTCGAAAACAATTTTTTGGGAAAGTAATTTTATCCAAGGACTTTTGTTCGAAAGTAAATCTGATCTAAACGAAATTGTTCAATCAATTAGAATAAATTAGAATACAATTTCTGATTCAAACAAATCTCTGTAAAATCCTTATGTCCGGAAAAAACAAAGATTTGTTAAAAAGAATGTTGTATTATAGATAGTTCTTTCCCCTAACTCAATTTACATAATACCATGACGTCATTTTTCAAAACTTAAGAAAAGCTTTTGGAAGTCTGTGAAATAATCTTGAAACCATAGACTGGGAAATAAAGCAGACATTGACCGGGTATTGACAGACACAGGAGGAAAGTATTCCATCAACCACCTGATAGAGTTCAACAAACCAACTAATAGTACACCACCAACCACTAGATATAACTCCACACACAACCTAATAGTTATCCATCAACCACCTGATAGAGTTCAACAAACCAACTAATAGTACACCACCAACCACTAGATATAACTCCACCAACAACCTAATAGTTCTCCATCAACCACCTGATAGAGTTCAACAAACCAACTAATAGTACACCACCAACCACTAGATATAACTCCACCAACAACCTAATAGTTCTCCATCAACCACCTGATAGAGTTCAACAAACCAACTAATAGTACACCACCAACCACTAGATATAACTCCACCAACAACCTAATAGTTCTCCATCAACCACCTGATAGAGTTCAACAAACCAACTAATAGTACACCACCAACCACTAGATATAACTCCACCAACAACCTAATAGTTCTCCATCAACCACCTGATAGAGTTCAACAAACCAACTAATAGTACACCACCAACCACTAGATATAACTCCACCAACAACCTAATAGTTCTCCATCAACCACCTGATAGAGTTCAACAAACCAACTAATAGTACTCCACCAACCACTAGATATAACTCCACCAACAACCTAATAGTTCTCCACCACCCACCTGATAGTTTTCCACCAATCAACTGATAATATTCAACCAACCACCTACTTGTTCCCACTGCCCAATAATTTTTTTCCACCAACTACAATATAGTATTTCCAACGATCACTAGCGATTTGTTCCATCTAAAGACCTAACAATAATTTAATGCATTAAAATGTGTTTGGTCAAAGAAAGGGAAGTGACTGAATTGAGACAGAAAGACTGTCATTGCACTGAAAACATGTAATTTTTAACTAAAGGACTTTCAGCGCAGTGAACACAGATGATTATACAATTTTAAAAAATGGCAATGCAGTGAACATAGCTGATTATAAATCATGTCATTATTTCATTGCCACTGGTTTGCTTGTAATACAGATATGCTTGCTCCTTGTTGCCGTGGAGCTGCTTGTAAAATAGATATGATTGCTCCTTGTTGCCGTCGAGCTGCTTGCAATATAGATATGATTGCTCCTTGTTGCCGTGGAGCTGCTTGTAAAATAGATACGATTGCTTCTTCTTGCCGTGGAGCTGCTTGCAATATAGATATGATTGCTCTTTGTTGCCATGGAGCTGCTTATAAAATAGATACGATTGCTTCTTCTTGCCGTGGAGCTGCTTGCAATATAGATATGATTGCTCCTTGTTGCCGTCGAGCTGCTTGCACTATAGATATGATTGCTGCTTGTTGCCGTGGAGCTGCTTGCAATATAGATATGATTGCTCCTTGTTGCCGTGGAGCTGCTTGCAATATAGATATGATTGCTCCTTCTTGCCGTCGATTGGGGTGGAGGGGGGATGGTGCAAGTGGTAATCCGTATAATTTAAGATGACGCCACAATTAAAAATAAACAAAACCACGTGCAATTGCTTTTATTGTTGTTAATTGAACACTCGACGGAACGGGTCAACCACTTGCCCTTTTCCTGTGCTACCTGTCTTTAAAATAAAACCTCATTACAAAACAACATTACACACATGTCTCATAAACATATACACATGTGCAGTGCCGGATTAGCCTAAGGCAAATGGGACGTTTTTTTAAAAAAATGGTTTGTGAGTGTGTGGTGAGTGGCAGGAGAGATTTGAATTAATCTTGAACGTACTCATTTTGACCGATCGCCGTGATGAATTGAACTTTTAAGCACCCCGGGTATCTCTACAAGCAACAAGTCACATCATTTCGAGGGTGTGGGGTATAGGGGTGGGAAGTTTTGGGTGGGGGGGGGGAGTACATAAAACTTCAAGTGGAACATCAAAAGATGTCAACCTTTTCTTAGACGGCCACAGTTAAAGGGATTTGGGGGGGGGAGGTGGGAGGGGAGTGAGTGGCAGCTGAGGATCAATAGAATAATGTAATTTTCTTTTAAAAGTACAGTGGTGTGTCCCAGTAATGATGTTTATATTAGAATTTAAGAAGGTGATTCGAACTCATCTTAAAGAACATTGGTGTGGTGTGGGGGCTGGGGGTGTGGATGAAATAAAGGCCGCCCCCGTTGGCTAAATTCCCCAACACTACACCACCACCAAAAACACATTGTTTGTATCAATAAATATAAGGTGAGGCTTATTTTGGTGAAACCAAATTTGCCCTCATTTTCGATCGCCCCCCCCCTTAGGTGAAACACTGGGGGAGGGGGTGCACTTTCAACCGCCGATGCTGATCCACAGGTCTTAATCCGGCATTGACCCCCATTGTTGTCAAGTCGATAAAATAAATTTTTAAAATGTTAATGGATAAGCACAATTTTTTTTTACCGAAATATTTTAATTTTTTTTTTACAAAAGCAATGAAACCATCCTTGGCTAATGTCTGTATTAGTAAATCGCCATCAAGTATATGAATCGCAAAATCATATTTGTAGTGGTTTATTTGTGTGTGTTTTGTTTGCTCCATAAGCATTAAGCAAGTGGATCATAACCTGTTCTGGGGTTGAATGCCCCTTTTCCAAAGAGTCGCATACGACCGTCGGAAAATACAGATAAACTAAAGTTACGAAGAAGCAACGAAATTAACTTTGTTGTTAAGTGTCGCCGCGACATGAGGAACTGTATTAAAGGGTCGCGGCCTCTGGGAGGGTTGAGATTCATTGCATTAAGGGAATGTATTATCATGTCATGACATTGTAGAAACTTTCCGGACTTTTATCAGCAAGTTGATTTAGGTCAAACACTTTACAAACTGTGTGTCAATTCACGGTTGACAACTTTGTTGATCTTTCATCAATTAAGGACCAGCAAGCTGACGTGTCAGTAAGACAGTAGTTGAAGTGCATAGATGGCGAGTGTTGTGACATGTCAGTAAGACAGTAGTTGAAGTGCATACATGGCAAGTGTTCTGACATGTCAGTAAGTCAGTAATTGGAGTGCATAGATGGCGAGTGTTGTGACATGTCAGTAAGAGAGTATTTGAAGTGCATGGATCACAAATAAAATTTTTTTTTATTTACATAGCTGTTTCCTATTTACATTGACGTCATAAATATCTCTAATAAAGTTAAGAAAATTGGAGGAAAAAAAGTTTTGCTTCATTCATCAGACCTATTTTATAGAGCAAAATTTTAACTCAAACTCAACTTGGCTGATAAGACATAATAAATACTTTCTCCACCGGGTCGCCACAATATCAACCGCCTAGGGGTCACCCAGTTGCTTTAATCCGGAATCTAGTGTTTGATATTTGAATTAGCTTTATGCACACATACACACACACCCTACACATGCACACTTTTGTAAATTAAGGCGATTAGAGACAAAATCAGATGTGGATTTGTTCGTATTACTAACGTTCAATCAACTGTAGACATAATTACGTCGAAAAATGTATTTTTGTATCTAAAAAAAAAATTACTTATAAAACAAAAACATATTTTTATGTTCTTCTCACAGATTTTATCTTGTACTACTAATACGGCAGTTATTGCCTTTCGAGCGCAAAGAGATTTTTGTTGTTTTAAAATTAAAAAAAGGACAGTGTAGGATAAGAATGCCGATTCTTCATCCAGGTATCAAGGATGATTCCTATTGTCATTTGTATCCATTGGCTGATTCCTAGTTGCCCGGAATCAACCAAGTTGATACTGTACCGGTATAAAAAAAATTGTTTCTAACCATGTACTGGCCTCCTTGCATAACGTGGCTTCTAAGCGCGTTATCAACACTCTCACAGTGCAGCAGTACAAGAGGTGGTTACTCATCATATTATGACCAAGTGTACAATGTACCGGTACAAACAACATCTCTTTTAGCCATATAATGATGACCGTACGCCCCACCCTCCTTCTAGGGTCAACGGTATCAATGTAAAAGTTTTAAGTAATGTTCTAATCTCTCGTAACTGCACATATTTTTATAGCCTGCAGACGCGTTTAAAAAAAAAAAATCTATCCTAAGTTCTTCGATTTCTCCTCACACTGTGTTTTTTTGTATTGGTATTAATCTCGTCAGAGACGCGAATGAATCGTGTTCGATTCCTCTTTTGTACGTGTGTGGGTGTATTGTTGGTTATTGAAAACGCAAATTGTAATAAAAGAAATTTTAATTAAACTATTCAAAAAACAAAAACAAAAAAAAACTGTCATGGAAAACTGATTTTTTTTTTTTAAGAGACGTGTCTATTTGGAATATACGGTGAATTAATTTTATTTTTTTTTACTAGAGGTTAATAAAAAATATTTCTCTCTATTATTTACGTACTTCTTAAAGGTAATTTATGGCTATTTTGGCCTAATATTTTAGTTTTTTACCTGGACTCTTTATAATATATTCACATGTAAATCTAAAGTATTTCTCTAGCGTAGTCATTGTCACTCAATGTACTTCTTTAGTGACAGAAGTGAATTAATTAGTGATAACTCAGACTGGCTAATTTAATGTCGTGTTTAAAGGGAAAAAATGTAATTTAAGAGCGTGAAAAGGGGTAAGGTAGGCGTATAATATAGAGCAGATAAATAGTTCTCAAAACTTAATTAAGTTAGAAACGTAAATATCATTATATTTTTAAAGTTATAGAGTGTGATGAGTTTTTGTAATAGCAGTTAGAAATTATCGCACAGGACCTACCATTATTATCCCGATAACATCCGGTCGTTTATTCTAGCAAAATGAACTTACTCATATTTTTAAAAAGAGAATGTAACATCTATTTTTCACAAATGAAATCCCATAGGAGTTACCCACATTGGCATCCACATAAACATATACACATCTTATTTCCTACCTCCGACATGTATTTACCCTAGAAAGTTAATTATTTATCAAATCCATTCCTTTATTTTGAGACTTATCTTGTGCTGCCTTGAGCAAAATGAACATACACACATTTTTAAAAAAGAGAATGGGGCATATCTCTTTTCACAAATTATGTAATACCATAGGATTTAAATAAATTGTCATCCACGTCAAATTGTACACATCCTATAAGCTACTGCCGATATGAATGTACCCAAAAATGTTAATTATTTATCAAATTCATTCTTTTTTTTTTTTTTTTTTAGATGTTTTTTGTTACGCCTGGGGCAAAGAGAACAACCCCTCACCCAGATTTAAATAAATTTAGAAAATCTTCCGCTGGATTGTAGTCCCTCCCCCCCCAAAATAACAATTTGCTCTTTAATTTTTATTCACTTCAAATTTTAAACATTCTATAAGCTACTGACGATATGAATATACCCAAAAATGTTAATTATTTATCAAATTCTTTTTTTTTTTTTTTTTTTTAGATGTATCTTGTTACGCCTGGGGCAAAGAGAACAACCCCTCACCCAGATTTAAATAAATTTAGAAAATCTTCCGCTGGATTGTAGTCCCTCCACACCCAAAATAACAATTTGCTCTTTACACGGTTCCATCTTTTTTTGTATGAGTCATAAGTGGATTGATTAGAAAATGTTATTTGGCTATGGGGTTGTGCTGCACTTATTGAATTATATTTAAAGGTTAGTAGTTATTACGTAACAATTTTAATAAAAATATATTTTTGGAATAAGAAAAGGCACAACTTTTTAAATGTTAAAAGATATAAAGCTAAACTGTGTGTGTGTGTGTGTGTGTGTTTTATTAGCAATTTAAAAAGCAAAAATGGTAATTATTAAGTTTACTTTTAAAAGGGGATAATACATTATCAGTTTTGTTACACACGTTAATTAATTTTTAAGTAACCCAAGAGTTTTGGGGAAATAGGTTTTTCGCGCTATGACGTCATTGGCGTGATTATTTAGAACAAATTGATTTTAATTTTAGTTCCCAATATTAAAGACGCACTAAAAGACGCACTAAAGACGACTGATGCTTGGGTTTTCCCGATAAATGTGATTACGGCGTAATTCTTTGATCATGATTTAATTCCTTTTTTTTTTTAATGTTTTCATAACTTTCAAACACATATAAAATGCTGAAAATAGTTCCTTAGTTGATACTTTAAATGTATTTGTAATTTACAATAATAATACTTTAACATTTAAAAAAATAAAAGCGGATTTAAAATATTTTTTTTTGCGCATGTAAATTTATTCGATTTCCATAAAATAATAGAAAATAACTATAATTGTTTTTAGGAATCCGAACGTACTTAAAAAGTTTCTCACTTTTGGCGTTATTTAAACCTAGCTCATTCTTATATATTTATTAAATATATTTAATAACAGCGACGTGTTCATAAATGGGAAAGGGGCTGATACAGGGGGGAGGGGGGTAGATAGGGTGGGATGTGCTGGCAAACGTTGGTGCATTTCTTTCATACAAAGGCGGAATCAGGAAGGAAATGAATATACAATATAGTGAAGAGGGAGTGGGGTCGGGTGGAGAGGGCTGGAGTGTGGACGTGGATGGAGTGATAAGATACTGCAAACACATACCCAAGTCATTCTACCCAGTCGGCAATGTTATGGGACATTGTACACTTTTATACCACATCAGATATGTTACCGAAAATTGAGCACATTTCCTTCACATCCGCTATTTAAAGGGACAATGAGGACTTTTCTACCATATCGGCCGTCACTAGAACATTGATATCTCTTCTACCATTTCGGCTATGTTACGGGATATTGGCCACCTTTCTACCATGTCGACTATACCGCGGGACATTGGACACTTCTCTAATATGTCAGCTATATTACGGACATTGACCACATTTCTAGAATATCGGCTATGTTACGGGACATTGACCACACTTCTACCATATCAGTTATGTTACGGGACATTGGCCACACTTCTACCATATCAGCTATGTTACGGGACATTGGTCACATTTCTGCCATATACGATATGTTACGGAACATTGACCACATTTCTACCATATCGGTTTTATTATGGGCCATTTAGCACTTGTCTTGCGTTAAAAAAAAAAAATAATGTCAATCGTTACTTCATCCCCTTTTCTCCCCAGGTAAATTCTGCGCGTGTCCTGATATCGAACTCACGTCTGTTCAAGTCCTTAAGTGAGCCGCTCTCACTGACGTCACACACCGCACAGCAAGGCGGGATTCCATCCCCCCAAAAAAATCTGAACAACGTCCCAACGGGTCATTTCTTACCTTTGCGCCACCCTCGTATCATAGGATAAATGAATGTAATCGCTCAGGTGTAGCACCGCGAAACCATGACTGGTCGGTGAGATGTGACCAGACTGTGTGGATCAAAACGGGACAGGCCACTCTTCCAAAAAAAAAAAAACACAACAAACCAACTCGGCTGTAACACAAGTCGATTGGCCACCGAGCGTGCGTACACGCAAACACACGCTCGAACACACACACTCAAAAACACGTGCACACACACACACACACGTTCAAGGTGTGCCAGGGGTTTTGTTGCACTGCTGTTTATTAATATGGCAACAGCTCCTTTTGTAAAAAAAAGAAAAGTGTTTGAGATATTTAATTTAATTTTTTTTTTTTTTTTTTATTTTTATGGGATTGTGTTCCATTGTGTGAGGCGATATGCAGTGGATTATATTGTGAGAAGTCGATCCCAAAAATAATTTTAAAGGGGTTTTGTTGCACTGCTGTTTATTAATATGGCAACAGCTCCTTTTGTAAAAAAAAGAAAAGTGTTTGAGATATTTAATTTAATTTTTTTTTTTTTTTTCATTTTTAGCGGATTGTGTTCCATTGTGTGAGGCGATATGCAGTGGATTATATTGTGAGAAGTCGATCCCAAAAATAATTTTAAAAAGGTTTAATGGCCTTTCGGATTGAATTGAAGTTGGAGGGGGGTGGGGGTGAGTGTTATATTAATATAATATTATGTGTCAGGCTCCTGGAAAGAGATGGGTTGAAATTTAATTTGTATGGGATTGTATATCAATATATTTAAAAAAAAAAAAAATTTATATTAATAATTACTCTATAATTTCCCCAGATTGGTTAAACATTTCGACTTGTTATTAACTGTTACTGATGGTTTCAAATAATCATAGCAATAAATAAATAAATTATTATTATAATTTAGGCATTTTTTTTTGTATAGCGCTTACCTGACAGCTCTAAGCGCTTTACAGTTATTAAAAGATATTGTAAACTATTTAAACTGTTAAAGCAAAATAAAAATGAAAAACCAGAGACACTAGAATAGTAACTACAATGTGAAAAATGACTATAAAATTAAAAACATTTATAAAAAAGGAGACGTTATAACCAGCCTACTGCGATTAAACACTACGATATCAAGAAAAATAAACTGAAAGAGTCTTACTAATTTCGATGACACAAACTATCCTCAATTCACACGATCGAACTTTCGTCAGATGTGCGTCAAAGTTTTTTAGGAACGCTTGTAAGCGTGTGTGTGTGTGTTGGGGGGGGGGTGATATTATTTCCTTTTTTTGTTTTGTTGAGATTTTGTTCAAAATTTGATCAATTGACAAGTTGTTGGATGCAATAACCGACCACAACATTACTTTGTGTACGTGACATTGAAGCCGACCTATCAAAATGGCGGATATATATGAAAAAAAAACCACGTGGTCAAGTTTCTCACACCTTCGAAAGCCAAATACCATGTCTAGGAGGCCCCTTTAAAACTGATACTGACCAAAACTTGCATAAACAATGTGCAGTAGTGCACTGCTATTAATAATACGTCCAATAATAATGTATCACCAGCCTCATAGTAATGACACAATACCTTCTATTTAATTCGCTCAAAGGGATTGAGAAGATTGACTTATGACAGAATTCATAGAAAACTCCTATATCTAGTCAAGTCGTAATTAGTGATAAACTAGTGCATATCTCTGCACATCGTTACTAGAGTTTCTGTTACTATAGCACGTGTTGCTAGTTTCCATTTTAGTGTCTAAATAACACGTGTCTGTCTTGCTAGTACTATTTTCTGCTTAACAAGACTTGCGTTACAATTGTCTGGGTTACAAGCGATTGTGTCTATGTTACAAGATTCTGTTTTACTGATGTCTGCGTTCCTCGTGTCTGCGTTACAAGGGTCTGTGCTAAAAGTTTGTGCCGAAACAAGTGTCAGTTTCTGTGTCTCGTCTTTGTGTCTCGTCTTTGTCACCAGTGTCTAGGCTGCTACTGTATGTAACTAGTTCCTGTTCACTATTGCATGTGCTTCTGTGTGCTCCTGATGTCTGTATTACCAGCATCTGTGTTTTTGGTGTCTGCTAGACTATAGTCTGTGCTACCAGGGTCTGTGTTTGTAGCATCTGGTCAATACAAGAGTAACCAAACGATTCAGCTAAATAAAATTTTAAAACATCAATAATGAAATGTTGAACGCTGTAATGTAAGTAGTAATTATAATTTTATTACAAATTTAAACAAAATCATTGTACCAATCAAATCAAATATAAACATAGGCTTATTTTAAATCATATAAAAAATGGTTGGGCACGTTTATTGAGGTCCATTGATCAAAGGCCATGAGTTTAACATATTTAAACTAGCCTTTCATTAGAAGATTGTTTATAGATCATTATTTTCAATACTTTTAAAGGAAACCGTGATTTAGATTAGAAAAAAATAATTAAAAAAGACATTTAGCTACTTGAACTTTTTAACAAAATTTGAAAATAAATAAAAAAAAAGAAAATCAGCTCTCTTGTCGAGATCCGGCCTTCAGGGAAGATTGGGGATATCCTCAAACTACATCAGCTGGTCACGAGGCCCAACTGCTGTCCAAGAGGCCCAGCCCGCTGTTTAGGATCGGTACAGCTTCTCCCTCAGCTCCTCCAGATCGGGACTTTCCTTTTTCGGGCTCGGGTTGTAGATCTAAAGTTTGAGAATCCATGTAAAGACAAAAAAAGAAGTGGTTAGTGAAAGGAGTCGTGGGGTGGTCAAGTGTTAAATATACACTGGATTCAATCTATCACGTCAACATATCTTTAGTCTTTGAGTAAGAAATTAAATTAGTTATACAATGGGCAGAACTAAATTACAAATAATAATTCTCTAGGAATCTGTGTATGGCTGTAGCTCTAGAAAAACTACCAGCAGTTAGTGATGATTTTGAAGTCTTATTAAAAAGGTGTGTTCCTTTGTTGCATTTTTCGTCAGTAACTTAATTGATGGGAAGTTGATAGACTGCCGTTGCACATTGATTTACGGGTTATTTCTAGTTCTTAAACATAAAAGAACATATATGCCTCTAATACGAAAATATGATTAAATAATGTCAAATATAAACTGCCCGAGTCTGGAATATGGTGCACGAGTCTGGAATATGGTCACGAGTCTGGAATATGGTCACGTGTCTGGAATATGGTCACGAGTCTGGAATATGGTCACGAGTCTGGAATATGGTCACGAGTCTTTAATATGGTGCAAGATATTGTAATATGATGCAAGAGCCTCTAATATGGTGCACGAGCCTTCAATATGGTCATACTTCTATAATATGGTAACGAGTCTGTAATATTGTCACAATTCTGTAATATGGAAACGAATCAGTAATTTGATCACGAGTCTCTAATATGGTGCAAGAGCCTCTAATATGGTGCACGAGTCTGTAATATGGTCCATGCGTCTGCTATATGGTCCACGAACATCTAAAATGGTCTAGATTCTGTAAGATAGTCATGAGTCTGGAATATGGTGACGGGTCTGTAATATGGTGCGTAAGTTTGTTTTGTGGTCACGAGTCTTGGAAATGGTGCACGAGTCTGTATTATGGTCCGTACGACTTTATGTATTGTACACGAGTCTGTAGTACAGTAACGAGTCTGTAATATGGTGCACGAGTCAAAAATGCAATCACGAGTCTGTAATATAAATCCCAGTCTGTAATATGGTACACAAGTATATAATTTGGTCACAAGTCGGTAATATGCTGCACAAGTCTGTAATATGGTGCCCGAATCTGTCATATTGTGAACGAGTCTGTAAAATGGTCGCAAGTCTGAGATATGGTGCACAATTCTGTAATATGGTCAAGAGCCTTTAAAATGGCCATGAGCCCTTAACTTGGTCACGAGACTTTAACATGGTCACGAGCCATTAACATGGTCACGATACTTTAACAAGGTCACGAGACTTTAACATGGTCACGAGCCATTAACATGGTCACGAGCCTTTAACATGGTCACGAGCCATTAGCATCATCACGAGCCATTAACATGGTCAAGAGCCATTAACATGGTCAAGAGCCATTAACATGGTAACGAGCCATTAACATAGTCACGAGACTTTAACATGGTCACGAGCCATTAACATGGTCACGAGCCATTAACATCACGAGACTTTAACATGGTCACGAGACTTTAACATGGTCACGAGCAAATAACATGGTCACAAGACTTTAGCATGGTCACGAGACTTTAACATGGTCACGAGACTTTAACATGGTCACGAGACTTTAACATGGTCACGAGACTTTAACATGGTCACGACACTTTAACATGGTCACGACACTTTAACATGGTCCATGAGTCGGTCATATTTTGCACAGGTCTAAAACATAGTGGCGGGTCCGTAATATCATGCACGAGTCTGTAATATAGTCGCGAGGCTGCACTATGGTGCATGAGTCTGTAATATGGTCGTGAGGCTGTACTATGGTGCATGAGTCTGTAATATCGTCGTGAGGCTGTACTATGGTGCAGTAGTCTGTAATATGGTCGTGAGGCTGTACTATGGTGCATGAGTCTGTAATATCGTCGTGAGGCTGTACTATGGTGCATGAGTCTGTAATATGGTCGTGAGGCTGTACTATGGTGCATGAGTCTGTAATATCGTCGTGAGGCTGTACTATGGTGCATGAGTCTGTAATATCGTCGTGAGGCTGTACTATGGTGCATGAGTCTGTAATATCGTCGTGAGGCTGTACTATGGTGCATGAGTCTGTAATATCGTCGTGAGGCTGTACTATGGTGCATGAGTCTGTAATATCGTCGTGAGGCTGTACTATGGTGCATGAGTCTGTAATATCGTCGCGAGGCTGTACTATGGTGCATGAGTCTGTAATATGGTCGTGAGGCTGTACTATGGTGCATGAGTCTGTAATATCGTCGTGAGGCTGTACTATGGTGCATGAGTCTGTAATATCGTCGTGAGGCTTTACTATGGTGCATGAGTCTGTAATATCGTCGTGAGGCTGTACTATGGGCCATGAGTCTGTAATATCGTCGTGAGGCTGTACTATGGTGCATGAGTCTGTAATATCGTCTTGAGGCTGTACTATGGTACATGAGTCTGTAATATCGTCGTGAGGCTGTACTATGGTCCATGAGTCTGTAATATCGTCGTGAGGCTGTACTATGGTGCATGAGTCTGTAATATCGTTGTGAGGCTGTACTATGGTGCATGAGTCTGTAATATCGTCGTGAGGCTTTAATATGGTCACGAGACTGTCATATGGGGCAAGAGTCTCTAATATGCTGTAATATGTTAACGAGTATGTTATATGGTAAGTAGTCTGTCACATGGTGCACGTTTCTGTAATATTGCACACGAGTTTTTAATATGGCCACATGTCTGTAACGTGGTCAAGAATCTGTAATACGGTCACGTGCCTGGAGTAGAGTATTCTGGAAAGTATCAGGATTCTGTTATATGGTGCATGCGACTGCAATATGGTTAAAAATTCTGTAAAATGAGGCACGAGACTTTAATAATTAATGTGCACGAGTCTAGAATATGGCCACGAGTTTTTATTATTGTAATAAGTCTAGAATATGATCACTAGCCTGTACTATTTTAACGAGTCTGTAATATGGTCAAAATCTTGTGATACAGTCAGGGGACTGTGATATGGTCACCAGTCGGTCAGATGATAACGGGCCATTAACATAGTACACAAGTCTGGAATTTGATCACTTTTCTGGAACGTGGTCACGAGTGTGCAATATGGTCAAGACTGTTGAAAATGGTGCACGAGTGTGTAATATGGTTGATGAGTCTGAAATGTTTTCAAGAGTCATTAATGTGGTGCATGCGTCTTTAACCTGATGCACGGATCTGTAATATGGTAACGATTCGGTATTATAGTCACATATCTGTAATATTATCACGAGTCTGTAATATAGTCACGAGTCTGTCATTTTCAGCACGAGTCTGTAATATGCTGCACGATTCTCTTCTATGCTGCATGAATATTTAATATTGTGCAAGATTATATAATATGGTGCATCAGTCTGTCATATTGTGCACGAGCCTGTAATATGGTCACGATTCTGTACTGTGGTCACGAGTCTATAAAATGGTAATGCATTTGTAATATGGTTACGAGTCTGTTATACGGTCGCGAGTCTGTAATAGAGTGCATGAGTCGATAATATGGTCCCTATTATGTTATATGATGCACTAATCTGTAAGAATGTTCAAGAGTCGTTCATATGGTGCACGAGTCTGTAGAATGATGCACGAGTGCGTAATATGGTGTACGAGTCTGTTAAATGGTCACGATTCTGTCATATGGTGCACGAGTATGTAATATGTTGTACGTGTCTCTAACATGATGCAAGAATCGGTATTATGATTACGAGTCTGTAATATGCTGCAGCAGTCTGTAAAATTTTAACGAGTCTGAAATATGGTTACAATTCTTTAATATGGTCATGGGTGTGTAATATGGTCACGAGTCTGTAATATGGCCACGAGTCTGTAATCTGTCATATGGTGCTCGAGTCTGTAACATGTTTCACGGAACTGTCATAGTGTGCATATGTCTGTAATATGGTTGCGAGTATGTTATATTGTGGATAGTGTGCAATATGGTGCACAAGTCTGTAATATGCTCGCTAGTCTGTAATATAGTGCTTGAGTCTGTCATATCGTGCACGAATCGGTTATATGATGCACGAGTCTGTAATAAGCTGCACAAGTCTGCAATATGATGTACAATTTATCAATATGATGCACGAGACTTTAATAATGTGCAATAGTCTGTAATATGGTGCAGGAGTCTGTAATATGGTGCACAATTCTGTTAAATGGTGCACTAATTCTGGAATATTGTCACGAGCCTGTAATATGGTGAACGAGTCTGCACTATTGTGCACATTTCTTTTATATGGTCACGAGTCTGTTTTATGGTTAGGAGCACGAGTCTGTAAAATGGCCACGAGTCTGTAATATGGTGCAAGAATCTGTAAAATTGTGCTCGAGTCTATAATATGATGCACATTTCTCGAATGTGGTCACAAGTCTATGATACGGTGCACGAGTCTTGAAAATGGTCTCGAGTCTATAATATGGTGGACGAGTCTGCAATATGGTGCACAATTACGTAAGATGATGCACTAGTCTGTAATAAGGTACATGAGTCTTAAATATGGTGCACGAGTTTGGAAGATGGTCACGAGTCTGTAATTTGGTGCACAAGTCTGCAATATAGTGCAAAATTCTGCAATATGATCACCAGTCTGTAATATGGTCACGAGTCTGGAATATGGTGCACTAATGTGTCATATCGATCACAAGTGTGTAATATAGTTCACGAGTATGTAATACGGTGCACTGTTATCACCTACCTTGCTGCATGCCGCGGAGTCGATTGCCGTTAAGTCAATCTGTTGCTTTATTCCTCGCCTGAAAACAAACAATGGAATAGAATAGTCTTATGATAGTCGCATTAGTTATATCATACGGAGAAGTTGAAAATGCCCCGGCCAACGCTGGACTTGATGTAACTGAAGCGAAGAAGAAAATTCGTGACTTCATCATAAAAGACCCACGCTGATGACAACATCAATATAAACAATCCCACCTTTGAGATCGCTTGAGTCTAATGGTACCCGGGTGCGAATGGCGGCGCTGCGCGTCTGTGTCCATTTTGACTCGGTGCTATTCGGATGTCATTTGTGGTAGTTTATTTTAGTTCAACTGAAGAATTAAGTCTACAAAGATATAGCCCATTCGATTATCTTTCATGTAATACCTCATTTTGTCTTACAAACCCAACAATACAATTTTAAGTAGATTTTTAATCCCAACCTCTCACTTATGATACGAATAGCGACTTCGTCAAATTATATTATATTTCTATGAAAGATATTAAAAATTTATTTTCATTATATAATTTAAAATTATGTATTGCTTCACTATGTCCGTCGCATTTAAGTTTTACTAAACTACTGCATTTATTTAGCTTAAACAAACCTTACCCTAAGTCTAGAATTGAACATATTTATGAAGCATTGGATAGTTCATAATACGTCGTAACATTTATCTGATTATTTACCAACATGCTCTAGTTCAGTGGTTCTTAAACTTTTTGGAGGTACCGAACCCAAACAATTTCATATGCGCATTCACCGAACCCTTCTTAACAGGAAAAATAAAATAATATATTTTTTTTCTGATTTTTTTTGGACCTCCGCCGAACCCCTGAGACTGACTCACCGAACCCCTGGGGTTCGATCGAACCCAGGTTAAGAACCACTGCTCTAGTTAGTCGTTTAAAACTCCTGGGGGTTTTCGTTGACTTGAAGTTGACGTTAAAATACGAATTAGTTTTAGATTTATGTATTAAAAGACCAAAGTACCCTGATTTGTTGAAGAGAAATAGTTTTCCTGGCAGCTGTATTGGCGGTGTAGCATTTTTATAATTCATTTTAATCCAATAAAATACGAAGAAATTGTACCATATTTGTATGGGGAATCTACCTGAGGTCGTTTTTTGTTGCCAGGGAGTAGCCAATGTACAGCACGCCGAAACCCACGGCGAGGGAAACGATGGACACCAAGGGGATCACCTATCAAAGAGACAGATAAAAACAATTTCAAGCATTTATTTCCCTTTGAAAATGATAATGTGTCTGCAGGATAATTAATGATCGTGATGGGACTGTCTTCTCTAGGTGGTGAAAATGGTTAAATCGTGATGATGGGGAAGGTGGTGATGATGGTAAGGTAGACAGACTGGGAAGGAAGAGAAGCTTGTGAGGTGGTACTATAGTGGTGATGGTGATGATGGTATGATAATGAAAGAATAATAAGGCGGTGAGGATGGCATTGTGGTTGTGATGATAAGGTAGTTGTGATGTAAGGTGTTAACGATGGTTAGGAAGTGATCTGATTGGTAAGATGATATGCAAATAGTAAAATTTAATAAATATTAAGGTAAGTGTTACATAGTGATAATACGACATGGTAAGCCAAGTGTTTGGCTGGCGGAGGCGAATCCAGATAACCATTTGAGGTGCACCATGGGAAAATAAAGACTCATTGATAGTTCAAGAGCTCTCAAAATGCAAATACACGTCACTTTAAAGGAAGTTGGTATGAGGCTAAAGTAACCTTCGTCTTTATTATCGTAGGAAGAGTTTTACTACAGAAGTTCAAGTGAGCGACAGAGAAACATTTTTGAAGAGATGCCAACACCTTCTTGAACTGAAGTAAGGATGTCGACAACCTTTTGAATGTATGGATATCGAAAACATTTTGATTTTAAGTATGAATGTCAACCTACTTGTGGATTGAGGTATGGATTTCAACAACCTTGTGAATTGAAGTATGGATTCAAGAACCTTGTAAACAGGGGTATAGATGACAACAACTTTGTGATTAGAGGTATGGATGTCAAAGACTTTTAGGATTGAAATCTTGGGTGCCAACTACTTCGTGAGCTAAAGGCTGAATGATAAAAGCTTTGTGAAATGAGGTAAGGATAACACCAACAACTGTCAAAACTCACCACTATGAAATCAAAGATGACTAACAACAAATATTGCATATATTTTCTTTTTTTTTTAAAACTAAGCCCTGTTGTGTCTTTGGTAACCCCTATTGACCTGTTTCCACAATCCGCCACTGCATGAATAAATAATTTATTTACCGCTGGATGCTTCCTTGAAATCTGCAGAAAACGTCGCGCTCTGGTGAACATGGTGTGACCTTGACCTTGACCTTGACCCACCGGCCGTGCCTTTGGCTGAAATATATAAATAGTGTACGCGGTATGAATTCACTCGTAGGCAACAAGGCTAAACAGACATGTTTCAAAGATATATTCTACTGCAAAAGGCCACAAAAATGATTCTGGGAAATTGTTTTAGCTAAGTTAAATGTAAAGAAATAAATCACTTTTAAATTGTCCAGTTCAAGAATCCGTGGAAAGCACTCAAAGAAGGAATAGAATCTACTCCTATGGCAAATAGACTATGAGAACATTCGGATGAATTAGTAGAGTGCTCACGGTCGGGCAAAGACCGAGCTCTGTGAGGTCGCTGCTCAGCACCACTTGCTCGAGTGGTGTTGCATGGGATTTTGCCTCTTCGTGGCGTGACCGACTTGTAGTGGGGAATTTTTCCTTCTGAAGCTAAAAAATCCCAGTCAAACACATGACTTCCTACGCAATGGAAGTTACGCGCTAACATGATGACGTGTCGCCGATAATGGATATGAGGCTTGGGTTCTTTAAAAAAACAACAACAAACCCTTGCTGAGGATTAAAAACATGCGGCCCTGAGAAAGCCGATCCTAGGCGACCGTTTCGTCCCGACGCAGTCCAGACCGAACCACTCACCGAACGGTGGGTTGAGGTAACGCAACGCCTCCCCCGGAGAGGAAGCAAAGCCATTCAGTGGAAATCATTGACATAGAATATCAAGCATGGAAGCATGAGTTATCCGACTGGTTGGCTACCATTTTGTTGAAGTCATTGACACAGAGTATCAGACATGTAAGCATGAGTTAATCCCCTGGTTGGCTACCATTTAGTTGAGGTCATTGACACAGAGTATCTGTCATGTAAGCATGAGTTTATCCAATGGTTGGCTACCATTTAGTTGAAGTCATTGACACAGAGTATCAGACATGTAAGGATGAGTTAATCCACTGGTTGGCTACCATTTAGTTGAAGTCATTGACACAGAGTATCAGACATGTAAGGATGAGTTAATCCACTGGTTGGCTACCATTTAGTTGAAGTCATTGACACAGAGTATCAGACATGTAAGGATGAGTTAATCCACTGGTTGGCTACCATTTAGTTGAAGTCATTGACACAGAGTATCAGACATGTAAGCATGAGTTAACCGACTTGTTGGCTACCATTTGGTTGAAGTCATTGACATAGAGTATCAAATAAGGAACCAATACTCAAAATTTTTTTTTGAAATGAATTTTAAAATTTTCAAATTTAAAATAGGACATTAAAATAATACATTATAACAGGACATACAAAACTCGACATTTAAAACCAAGACACATATAACATTTAAAATCCGTTTTTTGCCTTGGGTGTGCCGACATAAAGAGATGACTGATTACGTTGATTTAGTAAAACGGGAGGATTATATTATTTTTTAAACATTTCTTTTACGGGGTTTACTTTATCCTGATGCAAAGTGGGATTACTTATATTTCGTTTTATTGTGTTATAAATATACATGCTTATCAGATGTAGCCTGCTGGATGTTCTGGCAAATTCTTTTTAAAAAAGCAATTGTTAAAAAAAAAAACTATTAAAAAAAACCATGTAGTCCCAACCTGTCCAGGTTGAAGCTCATGAAAAAACAGGACAGTGGTAAAAAAAAACTACAACCCGTTCCGGTCAGTGTTGAAACATTACAAATCTGTGCATGCTCACATTACACTAGGTCACTTAACATATGCTTGGGCCTACACTGAATAACACGTACGACACTCTAGGGCTTACCCACTATAGATATGTGTTACTATATGTACAATGTATGTAACTTACGGATAATATTTTACTGCAATAACAAATCGATAATACTCACAGTACGGTCCACCATTTTACTAAAAAGTAAACTGTTTGAATTTTGATTCCCTGTATGTTACTTACAACCGTCTTTAAATATTACTTTAAAGGGTTACAGAACTATCAATGTTGTCAACGAGCTCTATATATTCAGATCAACCTTGGGCAGCTCTGGTTTTCTTGCTTGCACAAGCCGTCAACAAACTTCTTGATTACGTCAGCTACAAAACAACTTGAAAAGCGTTCAGTTTAATTTTATGAAATAGTAACCAAAAACTCATGACGTCATTTTTCAGTTTTTACCAATTAGGTAGCAAGTTTTATTCTCATTCGTTTATTTCATTTTTTTCTAGGTTAAATAAATAAATAATTTAAAAAATAATATATATATATAATACTTATATCAATGTTTTTGTTGTTTTTTATGGCATTCGTGAATTGATTTACCGAAACTATTGACATTTGTATTTTGTGTAATCGTTGTTAAAGCTGAACCTATAGGCCAATTGTTTTGTTTAAAACAAACTGCATATCATTTACCTATTTTAAAGCTTTTTCGCAGTCCAACACTCTATAATTAGCAATACTGTTTTAGGTTTACACTTCTTCCGTATAGTGTTATGCTCACGTTGCAGCCCATGACAGGACATTGCCAGGCTTTACAGCATACTAGTCCATAAAAGTTGTCTTGTGCTCCAAAGGCGTTCATCCATTGATCAGTGCTGGCTGTGCAAATAGATACATATAGAGTGTAGAGCACGGGTCTCAAGCTCAAATTATACACGGGCCGCAGGAGGTAGAGTCTGAGTGAGACTGGGCCGCATTAAGTACTCCACACACAAAAAAGCGATTACAAAATTAGGTCATCAAGACTTTAAAACTCGAATACAGAAGCAATCCCCCCTAAACTCTACAAGCAGACCCGGTCGTCACAATGCAAATCATTGTTAACGGCAATATATCCTTGGTAAGAAAATACAATTTCCGGTTATCTAAAGTAAAAATATTCAGCTAATAAATGCTATGAAAATAATGAGCTTCTGGTAAAAAAAAGACAAAAAAGGCTTCACAAGAAATACAAATAAAGCGATTCCCAATAGCGATTTTAAAGCTAAAACAAATTCAAACAGAAAGCAGGAACTGGTAAGATTTATGAATTATTGATGCGAAGGAAGATGCCATTGTAGGGAGAATGATTTTTTTGATTTCTTTAAATCGCAGAATAGATTTTTTTTTTTACTAACCCACTTTAAAAGTGACCAAGCTGACAGGCTCACTCGTCACTCGTACACACTAGAGGCAATTTTAATAGTGATTCTTTGATTCTGTGTCAGATTGCCACGATTTACACCATTATGGCAATGCGTTATACGCTAACTGACTGTTTCAACATTTCAAATATTTAGATATACAATACTTAAAACGTGTTTTCTCAAAACCGCACTTTGGCGATGCTTGCCTCATAAAATGCTATAAAATAAGAATTAAAATTTTGTCCGTTTTAAAACGGGTTTTACCATGATCATCACCGTCCGAACCTAAAAAAAAATATCAGAATTTGACTAGTCTGTGAGATACGACTGAAACCCTAGCGGAGGGTCACATTATAGATATGATGATGGGGAAAACGCGCGGGTCGCATGAACACCCAACTTTGCTGTCGGATCGCAAAATGTCGTCTTGCGGGCCTCAAGTGGCCCGCGGGCTGCGAGTTTGAGATCCCTGGTATAGAGTGTCCCAAATTCGCTGCCATGTTTCTTCATGAATTAATTGTATAAATGATTTTTCCTTATTGCCAACTAGAAATTTAACATCCCAAAATAGTATGTCCTTCGTTTTGGATTTTAATTTTTAAAGAAATTATATATTTTTATGACAGTTTTTTTTTCCACAGTTAAATGTGACCGATTTTTCAATCTCTCGTCTTTTGAGATTTCAAAAATTATATTAATGCATCCATATATTAACACACTCATATATCAACACATCCCCCATATTAAAAAATACATACATAAATGTATATATTTATAGGACCGGCCATGACATAAAAAGCAGAGGGTTTTCTTCGTTAATTTTTATCGCCGAGAAAGCAGAACACCTTGCTGCATAGCGCATCGACAATTTTCGCCACATAACTCAAAGCATGATGGCTGAATAGCAGAGGGTTACATGCGATGTGTGCTGCTGTCTCTAGGGGCGTATACACAGGGTTGGGGGTGAGGGGAAACAGTCGCTTCAAATCTAAGTTCGGAGGAATAAAATACCCCTTGTATGATTTTGAATCCCCCCAGGCGGCAAATGTAATACGAGAGATGAATAAATGCAAAGAGGAAAGAAAAATGAACGAAAAAAATTGGGATCAACTAAGAATTGAACACCAATAAAAAAAAACATAATTGTGACCATTCTGCCATAAATTTACTGTCGAAATGTGATAATCAAATTAAAAAGTACCTATCGGTCCACTAAAATTATATCTGATGATTGAAATTGCTGAAAACTGTTAAGAATTATTGAGTTTTCAAATGATAATGTAATTGAGTGTTGAAAATAATTTATTGAATCGTCAAACATATTTGTAACACTATTCTAACTGTATTTTTTTTCTGCATTCATAGTGAGCTCTCGAGTAATATGGAGAACAAATATTTACAAAAATAAAATAGTCAGAAGACCTCAATAATTTAAATAAAAAGCGACATATTGATAAGAGCGTTCCAAAAATGATGTCATCCTCATAAGTCAAAATGGTCGTACACACAACAAAAAGAGAACATAAAATACTGCAAAATGCTCAAGACAGTCTATTGGCAGGATATGCGTTATTGGAAAGAAAGATCATAGACATTATTCATCTGTAGTTCTTCCTGCCTGAATTACACTTAGATATTAAAACTCACATAGGCAGATGCAAAACATACATTACTAAACATCCCCATACATGGTAAACATAAAGCACCGACAAAACCAACATACAAGATAGGAGGAAACTTTAAGAATGCATCCATTGATAAAATAGATCTCATATATGCTCCATTCGGTAAAGGACACATGAATTATTTGTATTGACTTTAATCGACAAAGCGTCTAGAGGGCCTGGATCATTAAACTTTAAAAAATAATTCTGAATCTTTGTGCACTGCGCAATCAAAACTATTAACAAGTTATAGATTCCAAGGGAAAAAAAATATCCTATCTTACAATGGAAAACAGTTCATTTCCAACTATATATATATATATAGTTGGAAATGAACTGTTTTCCATTGTAAATATATAACTAATGCAGTTACAAGACTACTTATTGGAATAACACAAATACCCACCTCCTCTCTCAACACACACACACAATTTACCACATCAGGAGAATGGTGTGTGTTAGGGTTGGAACAAAACTTTTTAAAAAAAAAAATTGTCCAAATCAACATTGGACCATCCAAAAGAATGGCATGTAGACATAACCCAGCTATTTTTGACTTGAGAGAAAGAATTGAAGAAGGCAACTGGATACTCACGATTTGAGTTAGGATCTGGAATAAATCCCATTGGAAAACTAACCATATTTAAAGAAAAATCAGTTAGGAAAAAAAGTTACATCAGAAGATACATTTCATATGGGGATAGAATTTTAAAAAAAAATTGTCTGTAAAGTTGAGTCAGCCCAAGAAAATATATGGCAAGAAACAAATAGTAGAGGTGAAAAGATATGGCAGGGACCAAACAAAAAAGGTGAAAAAAATGGCAGGGACAAAACAAAAAAGGTGAAAAGATATGGCAGGGACCAAACAAAAAAGGTGAAAAGATATGGCAGGGGCCAAACAAAAAAGGTGAAAAGATATGGCAGGGGCCAAACAAAAAAGGTGAAAAGATATGGCAGGGACCAAACAAAAAAGGTGAAAAGATATGGCAGGGACAAAACAAAAAAGGTGAAAAGATATGCAGGGACCAAACAAAAAAGGTGAAAAGATATGGCAGGGACCAAACAAAAAAGGTGAAAAGATATGGCAGGGGCCAAACAATAGAGGTGAAAAGATATGGCAGGGACCAAACAAAAAAGGTGAAAAGATATGGCAGGGACCAAACAATAGAGATGAAAAGATACAGCAGGAACATATTCACAGTCAACAAAGTAGATTATGTCATGATATCATGGGTGAATTTAAAGTATACAAATTGATTTTTTAAGAAAATAGTAAGACTGCCATAACAACTTAATGGACTTTACCAAAGAAATTAACACTCTCAGGTGTTAGAAATGGTGTCAATGGCTGCTGTAATACAATTACAAGTTGAAGATAGGTATGGATCAAAATTCATATAATTTTAGAAAATAGCTAACTCAACTAAACAAATAAATTCAAGGATATGGTAATCAATGCTTGGTATTTACTTGATAAATAAGTTCAGAGGATTGAATTGTAAAAAAGGTAATTTTTATCAAAAACAATATCCTGTACCTTATGCATTCAGAATTGTTATTCACAAAACAAACAAAAAACAACAAAAAACAACTACATTATCCAATTCAAACTAATCAAATCAGAAGATTACATTCATCTCCTTTCTTTCCAATTGTGATGGTAGAGAATAAAACAGGACAGACAAGAATATGTTGCAACTACAGAGAATCTAAATTAAATTTAACAAAAAATTTAACAAAAGGCATGAGAGATACAGAAAAATCATTAAAAGAAATAAGCTCTTCAACTCTTTGATCCACTTAGACCTAAACAGAGGATATTGGCAGATTAGAATTCCTGCAGACTCCATACCACACACTGCATTTACAAACAGATGATGGTTATTGCAATGGACAGTAATGACATAGGGACTAAAAAATTCAACAGACACATGCTCAAGATTTCATAAAACAATATTGAAAGGAATCCTAAATGTGGCACATTTTGTAGATGAAATATGCATTACAAATAATTACTTAATATCCCATTTACTAACACTTAGAGAATTATTTGAAAAACTTAGATTACATAGTGTTACAATATTATTGTTTGCTCAAGAGAAAATTAAAATCCTAGGATTCAAAAAGGGACCAAATTGAAAAAAGCAATGTTCAAAATAAAGGTAAAAACTTAGAAAATAAAAATTAAAGTCAAATTTAAAAAAAAAATTAATTTCATCCCAAATTTTGCTGATAATACATTATCACTGAGACAGAAAATAAATTAAAACCTATCAAGCAAATTCTAGTGCAGCAAGAGAGAGGGAGA